CATCAGAGAAATGCAAATTAAAACCACAATGAGATATCACCTCACACCAGTAAGGATCGCCATCATCGAAAAGACAAACAAGAACAAATGTTGGTGAGGTTGTGGAGAAAGGGGAACCTCGTATACTGCTGGTGGGAATGTAAATTAATTCAACCATTGTGGACAACAGTACGGAAGTTCCTCAAAAAACTATACAGAAATACCATTTGACCCAGGAATTCCACTCCTAGGAATTTACCCTAAGAATGCAACAGCCCAGTTTGAAAAAGACAGATGCACCCCTATGTTTATTGCTGCACTATTTACAATAGCCAAGGTATGGAAGCAACCTAAATGTTCATCAGTAGACGAATGGATAAAGAAGATGTGGTACATATACACAATGGAATATTACTCAGCCATAAGAAAAAAACAGATCCTACCATTCGCAACAACATGGATGGAGCTAGAGGGTTTTATGCTCAGTGAAATAAGCCAGGCAGAGAAAGACAAGTACCAAATGATTTCCCTCATCTGTGGAGTATAAGAACAAAGGAAAGCTGAAGGAACAAAACAGCAGCAGACTCACAGAACCCAAGAATGGACTAACAGTTACCAAAGGGAAAGGGATTGGGGAGGATGGGTTGGAAGGGAGGGATAAGGGTGGGGAAAAAGAAAGAGGGCATTACGATTAGCATGTATAATGGTGGGGGGTGCACGGGGAGGGCTGTGCAACACAGAGAAGTAGTGATTTTACAGCATCTTACTACGCAGATGGACAGTGACTGTGAGGGGGTATGTGGGGGGGACTTGGTGAGGGGGGGAGCCTAGTAAACATAATGCTCTTCATGTAATTATAGATTAATGATACCAAAATAAGAAAATAAAAAATAAAAAAAGAAGAGACCATGGTCTTCAAAAACGTCTTGGAAAGTTGAGAATTCCCTCCAAATTAAAGGAGACTGAAGACCTATAATAAGTGAATGCAACATTTGACTGAAGGATATTGAGACAAGCACCAAAGCAAGAACAAAAGCAGAAGCTTGTATGGTATTGTTTCCCAGATTACCAATGCAAAGTTACCAACGGTAGCAGGTTAACTATAGGGACATTAATAGAAATACACAGCCAAATTTTTAAAATAAAAGGAGCATGCTATATACAACCTAACCTCAAAAGGTTTACCAAAAAAAGAAAAAACCCCATGTGTTTATAAAGCACATGGGATGCAGGCATGTGCAAGTGAGAACATAGAAGGGTAGACCAAACAGCAAGGGGCTGCCGAGTAAGGGATGTGAGGGGGTTCTCTGCACTATCTGTACAACTCTGCTGAAATTATTGCCAAATACAAAACAGAAAGGAAGGACTGGCCCTGCTCAACCTTCTTTTGCAGATTCAGAAAGCTGTTCAAACTTCTGGCAGCATTCCTGCTGTTGCGCCTCAGCCACCTTGACATCCCTGCTTTTCAACCGGGCCTTATCCAGGGCTTTGTTTGAGTTCTCATAGTCCGTGAGTGCTTTGGTGCGTCTGTATAAGAGATCCTGAAAAGAAAATCAACAGATGACATGGTGTCTATCCTGAAAAATCTCTATAGAACAAAACAGGGAGAGTAAATATCTGAAGTGCACTAAAAAACAGCCCAAGTACTGAGGTGCTGATGCACTGATATGCTACATGGCAAGAACCCAATCTACATCTACGTTGTTATTTTTAATCTCAAGATTAGCTTGGGAATAGCAACTCCTAGGGCTTTATTGAGAGCTTTTTCAGAATTCTTTATGTAGATTACAAGGAAAACCCCCAACACAATTTTTCTAGTTGATTCAATAACGGAATTTAATTTCAGAAAAGTAACCACTGTGCACTGAACAACACACAGGTCCTGCTGAGTGAGTCAAGTGATGGATAGCAAGGCAGAGTGAGAAACACTCCAATAACCTCATCCTATAAATCCCACCTTAGGGATCTACCCTAAGGATCCTGCGGGAATAGAGTCTGCAGCCTTATGGCAAAGCAGAAGTTACTTCTGGATCTAGAATGGGGAAGTCATGATACAGGTGTGACAGATGCATGAGGTCTCCAATTACCTTTTTTGATATATACTCAAAAAACCTAAGTGTTAATCAGCTTTAAATCCATTAAAGCAGAAGACATACTATAAAAGATACAGTCTGACATATGTAAAAAAAATATAACCAAAGACTAAGAAAACACATCCAAATGTTATTTTAGTTAAGATCAACTATGAGGAAAATAATTTCTACTTCTTGTTGACACTTCTCATTATATATTTTCTGTATCTAATTTTATGTTGCCCGATTTAGTGTATTTTATATAAAATATAATTTAAACATTTTAGTTCAGGACAGTGTAGACAGAAGAATGAAAGTCATCCCCAAAGGTCATTCTGCTTACTTCTCCGTCTTGCTTTTGGTAAGTAACACTTTTTATGTCTCAAAGGCTACTGGACAACTACAATTCAATGAAAACTAACAAATCCCAAAACCTTTTTTGCCTCAGAAATGGCCCTTTGTGACATGTGTTATGTTCCATATCCAAAAATCTATAATAACCCCCCAAATTGCCTGCCTACTGGACATCACCTCTACAGCTCTCAAGGGACACAAACTAAGGATAGAAAGCCATAAAAAAGGCTCGTCAATGTGAAAAGACCTAAAATAGCACCAGAGGATGTGAAAAGAGAGACTCTCATGAATGTGCCCTCAGAAGAGAACTTTTAACTGAGAGACTAATTTCCCGTAAATACCCGATTTACAGAAAACTGAGACACATGTCCTGACTAGTGCACACACACCAATGCGCTTCCCACTATGAACAAGCATCCCTGCAAAGGAACTTACTGCTTAGACTCTGGCTTGACAACCCCCTTTACACTCCTTGCCCTAAACACACCCAGCCCAAACTCTCAATGAACTCTCCCTGTATCTTGCTATAGCATGCATGTCCTGAACTACAATTCTTCTGCTATTCCCAAACTCAGATTTTTGGTAATTCAAGCTTTCTTCAGTCTACTTTTTTTTTAGTTATGCTGACATGACTTACACAGACAACTCCGATAGTTGCCTATTTTCCTCCATTTTTAACAAAAAGAAAACATTTCCAACATCAGATTTCTTGGTCTTGTCAAGGTGGTCTTGCTATACTCTAATGAGTTAAATTCCTGTCTTACCTTAGCAGCCTCTATGTTGAGCATGTAGTATCGGAGGAGCTCTGTCAGCTTTAAATCTTCATCTGAGGAGACACGACTCTCTACTTTCTATAATAATAAAAGTGAAGGTCATCACCATCTAAGCAGAAATCTACAGATCATAAAATACAAATTATGAAGATCGACATAAAAATCCTTACCCTAAGTTTTTCAAACAGTTCAGCGACCTTCAATAGGTACCTGAAAATATACACATGATTTTGCTCTAAGGTCTTAAATCATGTATCAAAATTATGTTTGTATCAATATTCTAAGACACGAATGGGTAAATTCAGGAGTGCAGTCTTGGTGCTTTACTCTGACCAAAGTAGTGCTCTCATCACAACTGGCCCAATCTAGTGAAGATGGCTACAAACTGAGAGGTTCACAGTGCCGCAATCATGGACACCAGCCTCTCTTGGTGCCCCTTTGGCCATCTTGCCACAGAAAACCTGTGTCTCCAACACAGTTTTTGCCCAATGCCAAAGCTGTGTGTTAACCAAGATAAGTTTCTAATGAGCCACCACAAGGGGCATCCCAAAGCCAAAACCACGCTATTTCTTCACAGTTCTGTGTTAGCATGACTTCCATGTTCAAATCAGATACACTACCACCTGTTATACCAAGCCTAGGTGTTAAGTAGATTACTGTACTGTCTCACACCAAAAATGCCCAGGTGGAGAAACTAAAACAATTCACATAAAAAAAAAAAAGTTGAAGACATCAGACTGGGGGTATTACATTATCCTTGTGCCCATCACAACCAAGTGTCAAGGTAGCCCAGGGCAGCCGTGTGAAGGGGCAAGCACCATCTGCCAGAGAACACACAAGGCAAACCACTCCAAGATCATTCCAAAATTAAAATCACCAAGAAACGGAGAGTGTGACAGTAAGTAAGAAAAGCTCTGACTTGAAACAGCTGCCACATCTGGTACAGAAGTACCCGTGTTCCAGGGGTGTGAGAGATACGTGCGTTAGACCATCACCTATGACAAGCTTGTAGAGCAGAAGTCTATAGAGTCATCACTCATTATACTTTCAGTTCTACCATGAGGTAGCGTCTGGTTAGGGGATTAGGGAAAATGCTTTTCCAACTAAAACTTACTTTTTGATAACCGTAGGCTCCTCTAAAGCCAGGCTGTGCAAGCAGGCTGCAGTGTGGATGTAGTCATCTGCGACACCTACAGGAACAAAGACAGCCCTTTCTGTGTGAACAGAGCTGGCAGATCTGCAAAGCTAAGTGGCTAATAGGTGAGTGGTATTTACTTTTGTGGGACCGGGTCATTTTGTCAGCTTTCCCACATGAATCCTTGATCCTATTGTAATAGTTAATGAGGAAATTCCTCTCTTGCTCAAAGAAGTCATCTACCTCCTAGGAGAAAAGAAAGAAATTTAAGAAGCAACACTTTTAAGAATATGAATACATATTTTGTGTTAGAAGAAACAGTAAGTTCTTGCATAAGAATTTAACCTCTACGGACTAGAGAAATATAAATTGACAAGATACTGTTTCATACTCAAGATTAGCAAAAATCAAGTGCAGTCAGAAAATGTCAACAGAGGGAACCATTTTAAAGAGCCATATAAGCAATGCTCTAAGTAAGATCCGCCATGATTCTGCCTGGTGGGTTGTTACCTACTCTTGGGTACCTGCAACCACATGTTGTATCTGGGGGCAGAGGGATGAAATTTGGTTGGTTCCAGAATGGAAAGTATATGGCATCTGGTGGGCACTGAGCAGGGACACCAAACATCCCATAGCACCGTGGGTACAGGGCAGTCCCATCCTCCTTGGACTGTGCCAAACAAATAGTCCAAGAGTATCCCAGTTTTTGACACTGCCCTCCCTGCTCAGCATCTTCATTCTGGGCTCCTCACTCAAGCCTTCAGGTGGCAAAGGCAGACACTGTTAAGGAAACTGGGCTAAAAAATGGAGGGAGCTGAGGAGTCAAGAAATAAGTAATACCTCTAAGGGTTACGAGACTTGTACAGTAATTTGATTTTCTAGAACAACACTGTCCAGTACAAATATGCAAGCCACATGTGCCATTTAAGGATTTTCTAGTAGCCACTTTATAAAAAAAACAGGTGGCATTACTCTTAGTATTTCCTTAATTCATTATATCCAAATAACAGAACTGTTTTTTTTCCTTCACATCAAGTCCTTGAAATGCAGTATGTGAACAAACTATGTGGTTCCTTAATTATACCAGCTAACTACATAGCAGGTACTTAACAGCCATATGTGGCCGGGGCTACCAAAAGGGACAGTGTGGTTCTGAAGAACAGCATGGCATACTGATCTTGCAACTTATCTTATTAAAAAATAATTGAGTAGCCTTTCTCCTTAGAGAAAAAGGAGAAAATGAAGAATTAAGTGTGGGAAGGAAGACACTTGTTACTCCTCCTAGGGCAGAACTGGGTATTTGGAGAAAGTAAGTGAACATACAATGAATAGATGAAAATATCTAAAATTTGAGAAGTTTATTTACATTTCTGAGAAGTTAATACCATTTGTTTCACAAATATGTCTTAAGAAATAAAAGATCGCTTAATCACACAAAAATCAAGAACTTTCTAATACAACTAAAAGCCACCTACCTTAACTCCAGAAAAAAGGACTTCATCAGCACTTTTCACTACACTTTTGAAAAAGCCACCAAACATCTCTTTGGTATTTTTCCTCCTAACACTTAGCTGAAGAAAGAATTCCAAAAAAATAATTTATGATATATACATTTTTCTAGGTTCTTTAAAAGTCCTGTATACACTCCAAGTAATGCTGCTACTAGTAAAGACACACACATAATACACCTCTAATTTCATCTCCACATCTAAAATATAAACACAGGCCGTAATTCTACAAGTGTGACTTCAGAAAGATTTTGAAAAGCTATATAGGCATCAAATCTTAAGTGCTTTTTAATCCTTGGTAGAATTATTGTTGTTTTCCTATGTTTATTAAATCTCAGTGGTAAGGTGACACTGAGGAAATCTCTTAAGAAGAAACAATGTGTGCATACTTTTTTTTTTAAAGGCATACAAGTCTCTTTCAACAAGGAAGCCAGGAAGAAAACAAACGCTGATGGACTTCAGTTTGTTTGCTCCTTGAGCAGAGACTGCAACATTTGAGAAATCTACTGCATACCATCAATACTGAGGTTTTTCCATCTATCAATTTTACTTGATGCCTCAAACATTAGAAAAATACCAAATTCAAGGGTGCATAACACTTAAATCCTTAAACTGTTTGCCCTCTTATATATATTGTACAGATCAGAAGACAATATGCTTTGTCTCAGAGCTACAATACTATTCTCATACATTTTAGACTTAACCAGTAACAGCATATACTCTTAACTGGTACATGAATCAGACAGGTCTCACAAAAGTGCGTAAAAGTCTCTTTAAGCAAAAGATAGAAGAAACTGGTTTCAGTTTCAAATTCAATTGAGGGAGAAGATCAGCCTTTAGAAGACAGTGATTTATAAAAACAGCTCACACAATGGATCCAAGCAGGAGGGGAAAGTCACATCTAAAAGGTTTCCATTGTGTTGGTAAGAAATTAAGAACTTTTTAAGAGTCAATTTTTTAGAAAATATATCATGTGTATTTTTAAAATTTGGTCTTATAAATTTTAACTGAATCATGGAATAGAATAAAACTGGATCAAGGGAATAAAAATGCCTTACATCCTGATCATACTCGAGGAAAACATGAAAGTTGCGATCTTTACTGAGAACAGGGTGGGAAGAAAGCCTCTGAAGGAAGACTTCATGGGAGGACACGGTCTTCTTAAAAACAGCAAGATACTCACTGAAAGAGAAACACATAGGCCTTCAGTTGGCTTCACTCAACTGCCTGACCAATACTGCTCCCTGCTCATGCTCTGTTCATGCCACTAAGTATCTGCACCAAACCAGAACACTCTGGTGTAACTTTTTATCTAATTAGGTAATAAGGCAGTTTTGGAAACTGTAATGAACCAAGGAAGGGGGAAGTGGTGTCATCAACTTCCCAATAGCAGACACTTGAGTCTGTTCTGTGTGCTTCATCCTCAGAGATGGTCGTGACAGGCACCCAAGTGCATACTGGCCCCAGATAAAAGGGGCTTGGGGCAGAGCACTGAAGAGAACTGCTGTACTGGGCACCTGAATTCCAATATGCTGATAGTGGAAGAGGGGAGGGTGACAAGACAAAAAGGACAAGGATGGTTTAATTTAAAAAAAATTAACACCTCCAACTACAATTTAGAGTAATTCATTTTTGTTTGAAATAATAAATAAGACCAGATTAAAATATACTTCCTGCAGACCTGGATTTCTTAAAAACCAGCAATGTGATCATTTAGAATGTGTCTGTAACAGCATTCACTGCAATCTAGTTTCAACTATATTTCAAGTATCCAAACTTTAGGGAAGAAAGTTTTGTATATTTATCAGCAGCATGAAGAATCATTTATATATAAGACACAAAGGTTTACTTCTTTACTATGCCAGACCTGCATCATTCCATTGACAAATATGACCTACACAGGGGAAAACAATGGCTCCATCCAGTGTCAGTGGCCTCTAGGGAACCAACATCTCAAGTACAAAGACCATGCCCCACACTATTAAATGTAGTTTTAGAAGACTGCACTAGGCCACTAATTAACTGCTAGACTTACAGAACCCCATCAAGAAAATTCACTTACGCTTCCAGCTCTTGCTTCATCTTAGCAAATTCTTCTTTGGTCATAGACCCTTCACCCTCTCCCAGTTTCTGCATCTTCTCTCGAGGTCCATCAAAGTCAGGCTTTGTAGGAGAAGGTGGAATCTAACAGACACAGGTAACTCGTGAGCACTCTTGTCCCAGCAGTAACGTCCTAGTCATTGCCTGCACACAGGAAGCAATGAGCCCAGTGGAGCTACCTAAATGTCAACCTCCATTTTTCTCTTAACCTTATCTTACTCCTTTTGGGCACTCAAAAAAGTGCCCTCCCTTTGAAATCATTTGTTCAGTTTATCCATTACAGTCGACTGGCAGGGTACAATAGCATTTCTTCTGCTTCAGTGTCAGAAGAATTTAAAATTTATATATTTCAATTGACACTAAAATGAAATGGATAAAGTATCAACTCTTGTCTCTAAACTTCAAAAAAAATTTAATTCCACAGAAAAGTCAAAAGATTCTAATTTTCAATGGGCATTCTTAGACACAAGATTCAGAACTAACTTTGTTAAATTATTTGGTTATATTCTTTCAGTTTGTTCACAGGACAAAATTCTTTTAAAATCAAGTTATGTCCTTTCCTGCAGTCATGCATTAACTCTCAAGGGCTGAGCATAAAGACAACTGCCTCCTTTGCTCCTTGAGCAGAGACTGCAAAACTTGAGAAATCCATTGCATACCATCAATACTGAGGTTTTCCCATCTATCAGTTTTACTTGATGCCTCAAAGAAGACATTAAATACCAAATCCAAGGGTGGATAACACTGAAATCATTAAACTGTTTGCCCTCTTATATTTATTGTACACATCAGAAGACAATAAATATGCTTTGTCTCAGAGCTACAATACTATTCTCATACATTTTAGCCTTTACCAGTAGCAGCATATACTCTTAACTGGCACATGAATCAGACAGGTTTCATAAAAGTGCGTAAAAGTCTCTTTAAACAAAAGACAGAAGAAACTGGCTTCAGGAATTATTTGATTTTCCAAAATGCACTTACAATAAGCCCAGCATAGTCTATATTTTCAATAAGAGTGTCATGTAGCCACACAAAGTCTTCATGTTGCCGTGTAACAGAAAACTCCGGGCTCTGAAATGTGGGCAATGTGGTCTGTAAAGAAAGCAGTGAGAAGTTAAACTGGCAGCCACCACTTATAGATAGTGGTTTAAGTGTCCTGGGCTGCACTATGGGAGAATTCTGCACAATAAAGTATCACAGTGAGATCCTGTCAAGAACAAAGCAACAATACATGGGCTCCCCGCCACCACAAGTCACAGCTAAGACCCACCATGCTCCTCAGGGGGTTCTTTTCACATACTCTACCTTTCAGGTCAACTCAGGCAGGTATATTCATGTACCTGAGACATCCTAATCAAGCCACAAGGTGTTAAGAGAAAAGCACGTGGGAGAGGACCTTACAGACAGCATGTGTGGGTGCTGAAGACGGCATATGCCAAGAGCTGCAGCATCAAGCTGTCTAATTCAAGCTGTGCCTCAGCTATTTACTTTATTCAAACCTGTGCCTCAGTTTCCTTACCTGTAAAATGGAGGTCATGGAACACCATCACAAGATTTTTGTGAAGATTTTGTAAAGAGAAAACCACATAAATTAAATCCTTTTCTGTCTGACATAAGATAAGCATTTGATATACTTTAACTAGTACGAAGGAGAAAGGCTGAAAATATTCCCAAAGGAACTGATTTTGAGAAATTACATTTTTTTCTACATATTTCACAATGGTATAATTCTTTTGTTAAAATTAAAATGTGGAGGAAGAAGTCTCAAATCACAAGAAACAGGTGGGGTGAAAGCCAACAGCTCAGTAAACATGGGAAAAAGCAAGCACTTCTCACACATGTCAAACAACGAGGAAGATTTGAGCTGTGTTAGGTAGGTGGCTTCACCTATTATCACTTTGCCTGGTGTGCTTCAGGGAGCACAAGCCATGCCAGACAGCAGCAATGCCCACAGCCGTCGGGCTCCACCCCAGGGGAAATGCTGAAGAGCACTTATCTGATGTTCACTACAACAAGCAGAATGAGGGAGGTTCCCACCCAGCAGCAATGGTACACTGCAGACAAGACAGCAACCATCTCAGTCCAGGCAGTCTCATCTCACAAACACAGTGAATGACCGGGCTGCAATCTAGCAATGTCTTCATTACTAACGTCATTCTGTCACTCACCTTGGTGTGTACTGTAAATTTGACTTTATCTCTCTCACTGAGTGCATCAGGTATGTCAATCTGAAGCGAGGGATCAACATTCAGGTCCACAGATACAGATCTCAGCTGAAACACATTTTTGGCTATTAGTCTCAAAGTCACTTTAAAGTAGAAGCTAGTAATTCAAAAGCAATCTATAATAAGATCATTTAGAACAAAGTCAGTTGAGATACCTCTTGTTTATTTGAACCTGTGGGGAAACCGGCTCTTAAATGCAGGGTGGATCCAAATTATTCTTGTAATCTGAACAAAGCAACTATATTATTCTAATGCCACATTTTTTATGCCTACATGAAAAATTCACTTACTCAAATACAAAGAACTGTACTGAGAGGAGTGAATTGAAGAAAATGAAGTCTTGAACTTCTTACACAAATGCCCAAATTACAAGAACACTCCAAGGCATTAAACAGATCAGACATTTATCTGAAGAGTGGGGAAAATAGAGGGAAGACACAGCAAACAGTTAAGTGGGATAGGATCCTGGGTGGGAAGATAAGAGAAATCCAGCTCAACAGTGGACCTAATTCCACTGAGGGACTGTTTCAAAAAAAATGAGAAATCTAGACACAAAAGGTGAATTTTAAAAACAATTCCTTAATTAGGAGAATCCCACTGCAGATACACGTAAGGGACAAGTATGAACACTGCCCTGGAAGCAAAAGTGGCTAAGAGTTGGAAATTCAGAGGAAAAATAATACCTAACTCCATTTTTGCCAGTTTAAAAAGAATTTCTGGAAGAAGTGGCCTGTTAGGCTAAAGTAGTTAAATTGGCTTCACTACTGATTTTAAATATGATGCATTCCTAATTCTTAAAACAGACAAGATAAAGATCTGACACAAGTCATAAGAGGCTCCATGGACTAACCATCTCATGTCCGCCTCCTCTTAAACTATAAGATCAAAAAATAAACTTGTCCTAACACTCACTGAACACAAGAATGCCAAATGAAGACTAGAGCTAAACGGATGAGAAAACAGGGAACACCGAGGTACTTCCCTCTAAATTTCCCTTTGGATTCTTTTCTACAAAATAACAAGTTCAAAACCAAGGACTGATGAACTTTACTTCAGAAACTAGAAAAACTGGTTCCATCAGGTATAAAAAGATTAAATATATTTATTACTAAAAATGCCTGGAGTCCCCCCTCTCCTTTCTATCTTAGCTGTCAGCACTTCCCTTTTTCCGTTAGCATTGCAACTAAGAAAAAATTTTAACTGCAAATACCGGAATTAGCCCTTTAACACTGGCTTTCCTCTAAGCAGTAAGCTGTAAATTCTGTCACCAGAACCTGATTTTAACATCAGGAATTAGAAGGATTGCAATATACTTAGCAACAGTCTCCAACTTCTCAGCCTAAATACTTCTTCCAAATGAATTCTTGATGACTCCTATGAAATATTTGCTTGTCTGGCTTAATTTTCACATGCCCACTTATGAGATCTCTGCAAACAAAGATAAAGCTTCAAAGTCAGGGATGTTTCATCACAACTGTGACTCTGGCTCTGACATTATTTCTGATAAAAACTTCCTTCCTTCTGGTAATTCACCCCTTGGCCAAAACAGTGTTCAAGAAGACCTCAAAGTTCACACTAAAATGTGACTGCAGGGAATACTGATCACCCCACCTACGTCTGTATCTGTCAAAGTCAGTACAAGAGTACAGTGAAGTGTCTGAGGTGTAAAAGGCACAATAGGCACTGGTGGAAATACTGGGCAGCCCACAGGTCTAAGGTGCATTTAAATAATTGCCATGTTCCCTGAGATTTCATTTTCAAAAGTCACAAATCCTAGTTTCTAGCCATCTCTCAGTTTCTGACCATGTTAACAATCCCATTTTAGCTCACTACAAAACAAACTCAGTGAGCCTGCAAGCTCCACATGGAATTACCTTTGGAGTTAGAGCTGGAATACCCAACGGGAATGTTACTTAGTAAATGGGGTTCTTTTAAGCACAAGTCAAAACTACAACAGACTCTCCCAGCAACTTTTTGTTCTACTGAACAATGATCTCATTTCACCTCTTTTCCCATATTCCGAACCAAACAGGTAATAGCCCAGACTATTTATAACTATCTTCCTTTCTAGTCAGCATAGAAATACTTTTTTTTTTGTATTAAGAGTGCAATGAGGACACAAAGGAGTAATGAAAACCACTAGAGGTTTTGAAAGACTGCACTGCAGAAGGGTAACAAGCACCCAAGCTTCTCCAATGGTAACCACTTTTGGTAACCTATCACGTAATCAAGGGAAATCGAACTAGAATCTGACCACGTGTCCTGGCATGACGGTCTTGACAAAAAAATCTATGTAACAAGAGTCTGCATCTGGGCCTCAAAGAACTGTCTGGAAAAAAGGACACTGGCAAAATTCAGAGCATTCAGGCAATCATCAACTCAGTGGCCCCATCAACAAGTAAATTTCCCATACTGCCACAGATAAATCATCAAGGAGTAAGAAGTTGTGAAACGTTTAAAGCTTCTCAGTCAGCATTGTAACCTCACTCCGGATGCACCAAGTGTGATTCAAAGCTCAGCATTCCTTCTGCTTAGTCAACAATAACACACCATAGTCCCATGCCACAGCACTTGGTAAATAAATGACCAGGATGGAGGGCCTAAGGAATGGGAGGCACTCCTCCATATGCTTTCCCCCATTCACCCACCTTTATCCCCTATCCTGAGTGAGCAGCCAGAGTACCACTCAGCCCTGCTGGCAAACACCTTGAGTCTCTGACTTGGGCCACAGATGTCAGAACACCTGGAATGGATGTTTAAATCAGTGGGGAAAGGCAGGCTTCAGAACCAACCACATTAAAATTTTCCATTTCCCAGTTCCCTTAGTTCACCGGTAAGACTCAAATTTTAAATGTAACTGCCCTCAAAAGATGGCATGTAAGTTTTAAAACTGCCCTTTTTGTAATTTCCACAGAAACCCAGTGCATCACATACCCAAAGTTTTAGGGTTTCAACTCCCAATGTAATACTTTCCTACCAGATTAATTCTTACAGTAAGGTTTATAATGATCTTCATGAGAAGAGAGTTAAGGTATAAACAAACATAGCAAATTTCTAACCGTTTCAAGAAATCTCAACGTTTAGTACAAGTCTGAAATGGAGGGAAAACTGATAAAGAATTCCTATGCATTTCCTTACCTGCTCATATAGCCTCCCCAGCTGGGGCGCCTAACACTGAATGCAGGACAACTCTGCAGAGCTCTGGGATGCTGAGGACCACTTTGATCCAATCCTGCTTACAACTCATGTTGGTACAGAACTTAACACCATGTGCAGAGCTCCCTCTTCAAGAGGTTTAATGGCTCACCTATGGCATAGTGCACCTATGTGGACAACACAGAAGCCTGGAATCTCTAATTCAGGACCCACAGGAGGAACAAATATTAAATAAAGGTTAAATGTTATGACAACTATAGACCAACTGGTTCTTCCCTTCCTAAATATATATATATATATAAATCAAGCCTGCCAGTATAACATCTTAGTCCTCAAAAACAGAAACAAAGGCTTCTGTAAGATCTACATCTCCTAACATAGATTATAGCTATGGAAGTTAGTCATAAGCTTAATTAAAAAACAATAAAAGGCTGCAGTGTGATCAGATTTCCACCACTCATCTTGGTGAGATGGGACCCAGAGGGACCCAACCCTGCTGACACCAACCATTCCTACCGGTAGTCCACCAATCCACAACTGTCCGTGGTAGAACACCGCAGACCGCAGGGCATTTGGAGGCTACAAAGCCCCAAGTTCCTAGAACAGGAACTGAAGCTAGGAAGGTCAGTGCAGGCACTCAGCGAATGGATAAACCAAATCATCATTTCACAAGGCTGCAAGCCCATGAACTACTCAAATCCCTACTTGGAACCAGAAAGAGAGATTAAGCTCAATCATTAGTTTAAATAACATTCATTTCAAGAAATCCACCTAATTACTAGGTACCTGGATTATTTTCAAGTGAGTTCACAAAGTGAAAGGCTTCAACTATACGATTATCTCCTAGCACAGAAACTCTACTGGGATTCAAAACAACACTGCTAGAGGAAGCAGCTACAATAAATTTTAAAAACCTCATTTTTTTCACTCAAAGCTAAATGAAATCTTCACCCACTTGATGGGTTTCACCCAAGCCCATCAAGGCTCCCTCCCAAAGGTTCCCTGGTACATATCAAAAGTCCACAGCCACATCCGCTATAAATCTGATGTATTACACATTACTCATGTTGATGAGGGTTATTTAAAACATTCAATGTCTGACCTTTATGGTCTTACTTTATGATCAATCCAAGGTGAAACAAATAGGTCTGAGAATAAAATTTACCTTCACCAGCATGACTCGGCAACACAGGTAGAGCTGTCTCAGCTGAGACTTAGTTCCTCTTAAGTCTGCGACACAAATGGCAGCAGCATGAAGAAAAGGCTGCCTGTCTCAGGATGAATTTCTTTCCCACTGTGAGTCAGAGACACCACACATTCCCCAGATCATTCAGATGTAAATACTCCAATTCCTTATTTTAACACTCCCCAGCTATGAGTATCCATCATCACCAAAGACCACACAGAAGACAGGACGCTTGCAGCACCTGCATTTGTATTCCTCGCCATTTAGGGTGACTAGAATGCCCTCAAAAACAAGTAAAGATAACCTGTTCACATACAAAATGCTTAACACAGGTTAACATAAACAGCTAGTTACTTTCCTCTTCAGACAACACAGCAGTGCCTGAAAAAGTTACAAATCTGTAAACGGAAAGGGGAGAGGAATCAAGCCAAACAACTCAATTTCTAAACTGAGGTTCAGTCCCTCCTCTACATCCCAATCGGCACTTACACTCCTCCCTGTGTATGCTTGCCTTCAGGGTATGAAATGGCTGACAAATTACATGTCCCTCTTTTGGAAAGGGCATCTTTTAAGAGTAATTCAAAGGTGACATCAATCAGAAAAGGTGTCATAGATGAAGAAACCCTTTGGAAAGCTAGATTATGCAAAGAAACTTAATTTAACAAGACCGCCACATACATGTGGGACAAGACGTCCTACAGCTATCTCATTTCAAAAAGAAACAGCCGAACTTACAGAGCTCTGAATTACTTTCCTCAAAATAACTGGGTTCACTGTACAATGTTTCTCTAAATACTACCTAACATGCCTTTCATCACTGGCTATTTGAGGCATTCAGGGTACTAACCTACAGAACTATTCTTCCTAAATTTTGCTCTAGGCCCTGATAACAGAAAACAAAATGTTTAAAAAGCAGGATTTTAAACAGTCCTACCCAGCCGTGTATCTCAGTCAAGTTAGCTCTGGCCCACAATACTGCTAAGTGCTATGGGCAGCCTAGCCTCAGTTTCCACTGTCCAAGGTGAGCAATCAACTCCAACAAAAAGTAAACACACAGCTGTCCCTTTGTAACCCTCAACTGCCCAGAACCCACTGAAGAAAACTACCTTTTTAGCATCTCTAAATAAGCTCAATATAGGGGGGAAAACATTCTACCAGATAGTCAACAGTGCTTATGTACTATATAGCATGTTATTTCCTCTGAATTTATCAATCAGATCCAAAAAAACTTGAAACAAACTGGCACAATAAAGGAAGGTTAACCTCTGTTATACAACCATCACTGCTTTAGAAACAAAAGTTTAAACCTGATTCTCAACCAAGGGACATCTGACTGACTGTGTCTGCCTGCACTTTTGACCATCACTCCTGGGAGGAAGAGAGCTAATGTAACACAATAGAAGACAGGAATACTGCTCAAACTCCCTACAACGCATAAGACAATTCTCCACAACAAACCAGCAAGCCCAAAACGTCAACAGTACTCAGGCTGAGACCTCTTGGCTTAAAACTAAGGCTGTAGATTAGATGTTACTCACTAGGTCTCACGCCAATTGAGAAATTTAGATCTCAAAATCTAGAAATTTCTTTAATACACTCTCTTGGCCATTTCTTCCTACAGCCAAAAAAATTTAAATGGATCATGACATGAAGTAGTATTCACAAATGGGATCTTAGGACACTGTACAAGTTACTGACCCAGAACTAAGGCTTGAACAGCTTTGGTAAATCATATGTTCCAAGTTTAAAAAAGAAAAAACAGTATTAAATAGAGCAGAAAACTTCAGTCCACAAAAATCAGTAAATTTGGACTTGCTACAGTACTGGTACAAGTTCAGGATTGTTCCTTCACCAACACAAACTGTAGGACACTCCTGTCAACTGTAGGGACACATCCTGGTTGGTGGAGTTAAGTGTCCCTAAAGACAACTTCCCCAACAGTTAAAAAAATGTATCTGCAAACCAGAGGAGCAGCCACATGAACATCAGTATCAATGACTTGCTCTCAAAAGAGACACCATCCATGCGACACACCCAGTGTCACCAGTGAAAGTTCAGGTCAGGCCTAATAGCACCAAGTGGGGAAGTGCCATCACCCAGACCTTGCAATGCATTTTCTATGCTCTCAACTTAACTTCAGTCCATTAGAAATTTAGAATTGTAAAACGACCCAGGAGGCAATCAGGACCCATGCTCCATTTGCCATAGGTTCACTAAACTAATGGAACAGACTCACCACCATAGAAAGGCACACACTGATCTCGGAGTGGTAACCTCAGCACCATGCACAGTTCTTTAAATGGTATTTCAGCAAATGGAAAGCCTGGAGATCCTAAAAGGTGCAAAATGAAGGGATGGGCAACTATTATTTTTACGAGAACTAGGTTCTGCACAACCTCCAATTACTTCTTGCTATCCACTAAAAAGCAGTCACCTGAGATTGCTGGAAATGGATGGGGGAATGCAGTCCTTTATCACAAGGTTGGGACTTAATTTTGTTAACTTTTTCAGGGCTAAACTTGGTAGAACCCTACTTTTCTCAATTTAAACGTTAAAACACAAATCTTTTCCATCAGCAGAGCACTAATTAAAAACCATGTTAAATCATGTAACTCTTCCCCTAAACTGCTTTTTGGGTTAAGGAGACAAATCCTCACACCTTCATCTAACACACATGACTAATGTGTCAGGCTACCAGATATAAGCCAATACTCCTTGCAGTTTTGCTGAACTAGCCAAAGGGTACTGCATGAACATTCACAAATCCTCATCAGTTGTTCCCTACATTATTAGTGGGTCTCATTTCCATGAGCCCCTATACTTATGGAAATTCCAAAACAAATAATCAGAAAGCTTAAACTTAGGACATTTTTGGTAAAATGTAAAATATTTCAGTTGACTAACAAAGCTGTTACAGGAGTTTGCTTCCTGTTATTTTAAACCTGTCCCAAACTCCCTTAGGGTGAACTTTCTTCAACAAAGCATCTAGACTCGATCCACTGCAGAGGACTAGTATCAGAGATCAGGAAGCAAGATGGAGCCACGGGTAAGAGTAACAGTTTATTAAGTTTTATTATTCCCTTACTTCTGTAATTTTAACAAAATAAGGAGGAAAATAATTCTATGTAATTCTTCCCTGTAACCACTCAATACAGGAGTCAGAAAATAGCTTTCATAATCCTGATTTTGCTGGAGGATCTGAATGGTGGGGAATTTATTTGAAAAGCCAGCTGTACCAATGGGAAGGTCGGCTTAAGACGTTAAGTCCTTTTAAACAGCTGTCCAAAGCCGACTCCAGATCAGGAACAGTAATTATCAGGAAAAAAAAAACCAAATTGCTGGCAAAATTCCTATTAAGCACCTAAACTTAACTGAGAAAGCTACCTTTGGAATATTCAACAAAGGATCGTAGTCTCAAGTTCCCACTTTCGTTTTTCATTAAATAAATAATTTACTTCTTTCAGCTTTCAAAAAAAAACCACCAAGACCCGACCCTCACTCACGCACGAAGCTGCATGCACTTCAGGAACTGATACAGCCACTATACCCCTTTTTAAAGATGCCATTTGTGTTAAATTTGAGAGCGCTTTGTATTTTTAATTCATTTTATCAGAAAAACTTTTGTTGATTCTGCACAGAACGCTGTGGCTCATACCAACCTCTATGAATTGCTAAACAAATCTAAGCGGCCAATAAAAGGGCAGAGGCTTGTCTCTTATCTTTAATTAGATGTAGTAAACCTGGATTTATTGCATTTGTTCCCTTTTTAGACCCCAAGATGTAAGCCGCATGCGGATGATTTGCATAAACACTCAAGTTTTAAAATTAAGAACCTGAGTTCAACAAGTATTTTAACACCTACTAACAATTACAGCACTCCCAGTGACGCATTTAGTGTTTGTGAAGTTTTAAAGAATACGCTTCAGATTTCTGACTTGGTGGAATTTCCCCAGTATTCGGGCCAAAACGTCTTCTCAAAGAGCGGACCGGGGGTTTGGACGCAACAAAACCAACTGCCGTTTGTTGCACGTCAGGTGGATTCACGTTCAGTCCAGTCCTCACAGCAACAAGGAAAGTTGTAAGAACTTCCAACGCTAAGAACGCGTCCTGGGATCTCGAGCTGAGCGCGAGGGCCCGGACGGCGGGGGCGGGCTACCAGGAACAGCCCCGCGTCGCCGGTTCCCTTTCGGTGGGGCCGCACTCACGGCGGCGCCAGCAGCCCCCGAGCGCCCGAAGGGTGAGGGAGGGGTGCGGGGTTCCGGCGAGCCTCCCCCGGAGCCTGGAGGAGGGAGGGCCTCACCTTGCTGCGATCTTCCTCCTGCTGCTGCAGCAACTCGGGAACCGCGGCCATGGCGACGCGGGCCTCGAGCGAAGCCGTCTGGCTGTGCGAGGAAAGAAGAAGCTGGGCCGCCGCCGCCGCCGGGGTGCCTCTCAGGGGTGGCCGCGGCCCCGCCTCCGCCAACCTCCCTGCCGGACGGCTGCAGGAGGCCTCAGGACTCCGCCACCATCCCAGCTGCCCCGGGAAAGGCCAGCGGCGCGCCACGTGCTCCCCCAGAGCGGCCTCCCCTGTCCCCACTGCCGTCCATCTTGGAGCCGGGCAAAGAAGCTACGTGGGGCCTACCCTCGCTCCGGGCCACGCGGAAACCGCCGACCGCGGCTGCGACGGGGACGCGAGGCAAAGAACACTCCCAGCGAGGCACGTCTTAGAGAAGACCGCGCTAAAAGTGCGGGGTAATTTATTACTCAGCCAGGGTCCAAGATGGCGACGAGCTGTGACGTAACAAGATATCGTGAGAGCGAAAGGGGCGCGCTTTGAGGAGCCCGCGCTTCCGCCCGAATCACGATCTCCTGAGCCTCTAAGGGACGTAAAAAGGTTAGGGGCGGGGCGTGCGCGCCGCAGTGCTTGCTGGGACTGCCGTGCCGTGGGTGGAGCCTAACTCGAGACCAAAGCGCGGGACGGACGAGAGTACGAGTCCCAAGAGGTCGTTTGCGCTCTGGGAGTTACGCGGAGCGTGGGGGCTTCCAAGGTACCTGTACCTGCCATAGGCTGGGCTTCATTTAAATCGGCTCTTTCCTAATCTCAACTCCCACCCGAAGGGCCCCAGCGGCCCTGTCCTCCCCTATGGCGGAGAAGGAGGCTGCCTTCTGGGGATCACTGGTGGGCGCTGCTGACCACCTCTTACCAGCTCGGACCTGACGGGACTCTTCCGAAGTTCGATTTCCACGTCTGTAAAATGGTGTTTCAGTAATGCAGGGGGTGAAGGTTAAATGAAAAATCTCCACACGGAATACTTAGCAAAGAACCTGGTGGTTAGGGATCTAGTTAACTGTTGTGGCCACTGTAGAACGGCTCGACCCGTTTTCTTTGTGTCTCACGTCTCCCTAAGTGTCACGTTTCTTAGGATTGAATACTGGGGACCTCTTGCCCCAAACTGTCTACTCTTGCGCATTTATTAAGTACTGTTCCTTCTGGTATTGATGAGAGTCTGGGAATAGCGTTGTATAAACTCTTCAAAAAAGATTATTGAACACAATTTAAATGTGCAATATCATACTAATGCAGGTTTCACTTTGGTAGTTTAAATATTTAACATTTGGTATCTAACATCCCTTTTCTCTTTAATAGAAATGCAAAAATAAAAAAGGCCCTCTTACCTTGCAAGTCGACTAGAGGGAAGTGAAAAAAATATCTAGAGATGAAGGCATTTCAGACCATCTGCAGGCAGCTCAGAAGTTCCACGGGGTTTTTTGTAGAACCAACCCGCCATGTGTATTTCTCCACTTCTGCTTACTCGTGTAGCCGGAAGAAAAAATTGAACCCTTACGAGGAAGTGGACCAAGGAAAGTACTCTGCTATAGTACGGTCTGTCTTGTCATTCAAAGGCCGTGCTCAGACTCCAGAATCATTGTTCGAGGAAGATAATTTACTCTATGGACCTTTGAGGAAGTGTAAACCCCCAAAGCAAGCTGAGGAAGCAAGAGTTCCAGGAAACTGGTTTCCTCTCCTCAGTTCAGAGAGAAACGTCAAACCAAATGCAACAAGTGAGCCTACACTACCTTTGAAAATCCCTCTGCAAAAGACGGTGACCCCAAGTGTGACCCGGGTCCTTCAGCAAACCATGACATCAGAACAGATTTTTTATTTGGAGAGGTGGAAACAGCGGATGACTCTGGAATTGGGAGAGGATGGCTTTGCAGAATATTCTTCAAGTAATTTTCTCAATCCTGGTTCTGTATGGTTACTATGTTTTCCAGAATATAGAGCACCAGTGTCAAAAGAACGAGGGTTTTTTTAACTTTAACTAGTGAGGAACTACTTTCAAATGATAATAATTAGCATTAAATAGCACTTAAGTATATTACTCAATCCTTATGACAGCCCTGTGAAGCATAGATACTATTAGCCCCATTTCACAGATGAAACTGAAGCACAGGTCAAATACTTTGACTAGATGATTTATAAAGTTTATAAGCTACGAACTCACATAAGAGAATTTCCTGTTTTCTTTGAGTATGGAAAACAATCACCTGATAATGAAATTATAGTTGTTTGCTAGGCATTCTGTTCAAAGTCTAGTAAATAACTCCCCATCCTACTTACCACCATTAACTGACTTAGACATTTAAAGACTGGCAATAAGCAAGAACACATATCTGTATTTAGATCTTGGTAAATTGAGATAATCAGATGCACTTAATTAGTAACTGGGATTAAATAAACTTTAGCTTTCAACTCCTAATTTACCAATTTAGCCAAGTGAGAATAGCTTCCTTAAAACATTACATTCTAAAGCAAAATGAAAGACCATTGGCACAAGTGAATTAGCTGGTCCCATCAGGATTATATAGTCGTCTTCATGTTAAAGCTAAATTTTACATTGATTGTTCCTTAGCCTATGCTTCCCATGGAGCAGTACATGTACCCCTCGTGGGTACATGTTAGTATTCGTTGGTACACAAGCATTTTAAGAGTAATGCACTTATTTTGAGCCATCTTAGCAAAACTTGTATGTGGGTAGGTCATAGTAAATATATGATCACATGTGATTTAAAGAAAAATAGTTATATAGGTGGCACCAGATATGGGAAAATGGTCAAGGACGTAGCCCCTTATAAGATCCCTCAGCCGTGTGCAGCAAGGAATATATGCGGGGACTAACTGTCTTAATTAGTAACAACCACCAAACTCCGTTTTCTAAAGCAACATTTAAAAAAAAATTTTAATGGCATCTTAAGTTTTTTATTTGTACCACTGGAGTTTAGAATTTACATTGCTTACTCATGGGAAGTTGTTTGGATTTTTCCTTAAACTAGGAATGTCACAGCTCATGGGAATCCTGAAATTAGTGATAATAAAGGTAAAGGCAGAGACCTGCTGGGTCAAGTGGGAACCTAGTTCTGTAGTTCTTGGCACAAAGGAGTGCTCTGGTGTCCCCCTTTGTAAAGGACAGGAACTTCTGTTTGGAATGTGAATGAACTTCACAACCCCAGGCAAAAAGAATACTGTAATGGTTTTCCTTAGGCTACTTTGTCAATCCAGGCTACTACCATGATGTGTTTTTCAGTTAACTCTGGATAACCTTGACAAACGGGTGGAATCACTTTTTTTTCTTAAGGAGGCGATCATAATCACATGCAGGTAGGTGTCATGACCCCATCACCGCCAAAAAGAAAAAAACAAAAATCACGTTGTAGCGCACTTAATAGGTCAGGAGAGACATTTTTTGAAATACTGAATTAATAAATTCCCTTCCGCTTGGTCTTACCAAAGGCAGGAGCAGAGAGATGTGCCCAGAGCTGGCATTCTCAAACAATTACCCAAGCATCAGTTTATGTTTTAAAGATTGCCAAAGATAAAAGTCTGCCTTACTCTGATTTACATTCAAGTGATCATAGTGGAAAGAGTTGGGGTTTATTTTTTTCAGCTTTTTGCTACACTGATTGTTTATTCCTAAAATGTTACCCGTCTTTCCAGTTACATAAGTCAGGACTATTCATGACATTTTTTTTAATGCACTTATATTCTGGACCTTGAAAATGGTTCCTTTTCATACCTTTAATTTACTGAGTGAATACTCCAACTTGCTGTTATCTGCAATAAGTCATGAATCTTTTTAAATTTAATTTCACAAATTGATTCATGTTTAATGTTTTTGAGCCTTGAAATCTAAGAGATCCTGTAATCTACATTCCAATGTTTATTGTCTCTTATATGCGAAGCATTTAGCCAGGGGTGAAGCAGTGGGGAATGAGTTGTGTATTTGCTTGGCAGTTGATAAAGCAATTTTTTTCTTCCTGTTTTCATCATGTTTATGTTCTGCTTCATTAGGCTAGTCTGTAGGTGAAATGCTGTACTTCTTTTCTCTAGGTTTTAATACTATCAGCCTCAAATTTCTTGTAATCTTCATGTGCTAATAATAAGTCCAATTGAGCCAAGTAAATTGGGAATAGAATAACCTAGTTCCTCAACTGAATTTCATGTAACTCTCCAAGTAATTTCTGGGAAGCATTCCATTTTTTGCCAATGGTACAACTTACCTTTCAAAATCTTTGTAAAAGGCACTTGACCAATGTCATCTCGTTTGATATAACTTCATTTGATGAGATTGTTTTCCTTATTTTCTGTGTGTCTGTCTCCAAGCATGAGTATTTCCTACTCAGTTTCTGTTTGTATCTAAATGATGGTCCCTGAATTTGCCTCCCTGGCTCTGCTGTGTGGTGGACTGGAATAGACATGGACTCTGGTACCAGGCTGTTGGTACAGCTTTTAGCTTTTGGGCAAATTAACAGCACTGTTGAGGCCTCCTTATTCATTAAAGTAGGGGTAACAACCCTTAACTTGCTAGATTGTTGAGTTTGAAAGTTAGATAGTATTAATGCCATGGCCACTGCTTAGTGCAACAATGTCCTTTCTCTCCTTCCCATATTAAGAATCAAGTGAATACATAGTATACCTTGCATCTCTTGAATATGTTTATGTTCTCTTAAAAGTGTAGAGATATACAAATACCAGTCATTATGTCATACACCTGATACTAATTAAGGTATGTCAAAAAAATTTTTTTAAGTGTATGAGGAAGAAGATTCAGGACAGAGCAACTGTCTTAGGCTGTTCTAGCCCTAAAAACAGAAAAAGTGCAGAAAAAGAATGCCACACATTTTTTCACTCCCATCCCCAGTCCCACAACATCTAAGTTGTTTTTTTTATTTGTATGTGCCTTGCTTTTTATTCCTTGCCAGTCACTAAACCTGTTAGTAAAAGGATTTCCCCACCTATGTTAAGTTTTGGTTGTAAAAAAAATTTAAACAGAAGTACAGTTCCCTAAGTGTCTTAAAATTATTTATCACAACCAATTAACTTACTAAAATGGATAGATAGATTCATAGAACCATACACTAGGTATGGTCCTTAAACCCCCAGATCTTTAATTCTAGCTTTGGCCTAATTGTACTAGAAATACTTCATTTTGATCCATTTTATTGCCTATGCTATTCTAGTCCCTTTAGTTTTCCAAGTGCATTCTTAGGTGTCACAAGAGGCTAAAATGTGATATCTTAGGAGCTGTCACTTAAAGATAACTCTTGTGTAATTTTTAATTTTATTCAGAGTCTTTTAGAAAGTATTATTTTGTAATACTTTGGTTTTTTCTTTGTCCCCTTTCCCCCTGATTTTCTTTTCAGACATATTTTTACAAGGGAAACGGTTCCACGAAGCCTTGGAAAGCATACTTTCACCCCAGGGGAACTTAAAAGAGAGAGATGAAAATCTCTTCAAATCTGGCTACATCGAAAGTGTCCAGCATATCCTGAAAGATGTCAGTGGAGTGCGAGCTCTTGAAAGTGCTGTGCAGCATAAGACCTTAAAGTATGTAGGTCTCCTGGACTGTGTAGCTGAGTATCAGTAAGTATTACATTTTTTCCATCAAAGTGTGGAGGTAAATTAATGCAGAGTGAGACAGATAGATGGTGCCGGTCATACACTACTTTTTCTCTTAACTCCTGCTTTAAGGGGCAGCCTCTTAAAGTCAAAACCTATGTGATACTGTAAAATAATTGGGCATGGGGTGGAAGGTTATCATGGATACAGGAGGGAAGAGCCACATAATCCATGTAAATCTTTGTTTCAAAATCAAAGTATTTGGTGGAGAAAAGGTATAACTTCATTATCCCTAGGATAGCCTGTTTCTGAACATGTTCCTCCTTCCCCTTTCTCTCAGGAAGGTACTAAGCATAAGATCCAGTCTGATTTTTGCGTTTTCTGTCCTGTTTTACTAAAAATATCACCTTAATCTATTGGACCTGAAAATCAACTCTTCCTGCCTTTCTGGCAGTGTTTGACATGGGTAGCAGCTCCAAGCTTTACTAAAGCTTCCTGTAGTTTCTAAATTGCTGCTGTTACTTTTTTTTACCACTTACTCCAGATTTGAAGGATAGATAGAACCTGCAGATACCCCTATTTCGAAAAAAAAAAAAACTTGAGCAGTACAACAGGATGGGGTACAGGGTAGGATCTGTCAGTGTAACCCTTGGAGATCTAGTTAAAATTTGTTTTAAGAGAATGACAGACTATTCATTAGTGTGGAAACTGTTTAGGCCACCTAACAGTTCTGTGCCATAGCTGCCTCAACTGAGAAGTGCCCTGTGTGCCTAGAAATTTAATGTGTAATTTTTTGGCGCCATGAAATCATTTCTACCTCAGGCCTACAAGAAGTTCCTGACACCAAACACTTTCTGTAGGGATTATAAAATATGCCCACAGTGCTGCTGTTTATTGGTTTTTTGCTCTTTAAGTGAAGAGCATCAACATTGAAATGATGAGTACTGAACATTTGTGAAACCAAGGTTTTAGTACCATCATCTCTTACAGAACATACTTTCAGTTTTTTAGATACATGCCCAGAAGTGGAATCACTGGATCATTTGGTAATTCTATTTTTAATTTTTTGAAGAATCTGCTGTGCTGTGTTCTGCAGGGACTTATACCATTTTATATTCTCACCAATAGTGCTCAACAGTTCTAAATTTTCCCCATCCTCACCAACACTTGTCACTTTTTTTTAATAGCGGCCATCCTAATGAGTATTAGGTGTAGCTCATTGTGGTTTTGATTTGCATTTCCCTAATAACTAGTGATGTTGAGCATCATTTCATGAGCTTATTGGCCATTTGTATATCTTCTTTGGAGAAATGTCTATTCAAGTACTTTGCCCATTTTTCAATTGTGTTGGTTTTTTGTTGAGGTTCAGGAGTTTTCTGTATCAGATAAATGAGTTGAAATGTTTTCCCCATTCTGTGGATTGCCTCAGTATCTTGATACACAAGTTTTTAAAATTTTTCTGTAAACCAATTTGTGTATTTTTTCTTTTGTTGCCTATGCCTTTGGTGTTATATCCAATAAATTATTGCCAAATTCAGTGTCATTATGCTCTGGCCCTGTATTTTCTTCTAAGAGTTGTATATAATTTTAAGCCGTATGTAAAGTAAGGTCATAGATCCACTTTGACTTCATTTTTGTGTATTTCAGTCCTAAATTATTTTAATGACTGTAGCTTTGTAGTAAGTTTTGAAATGAGCAAGTGTGAGTCCTCCTGTTTTATTCTTTTTCATGTTAAGAGGAATGACTGGTTATTTCACTGAAAAATAGAAGTGGCAGGAATTTTTATTTTCCCAGTATCCCTAGTAGTGAACTGTCCTACCCTTGTATAAACTTTTAAGGCAAGGACTAGGTTTTCTTATTTGTATTTTTGTATATAGTTGGTGACTATTGAATGCTGATGGATTTGAGCCCCAGCTTTGGTTTATGACCAAGATATTTCTGAGGCACCATGATGCTTATCTTTTATGATGCAGACTCTGCTACTGGTCTGTTGAGGTTTATTCTGATAGACATTTGAAGCAAAATCAATTAAGATAATAATGGATGTAGTTTCAATTCCCCTGTCAACTGTTAATGGAAAGCAGGCCATGGAGGTCCAAAGGAATTGGAGAAAGTTTAGAAACTGAAACCATGGAAGGTTGTTTCCACCACGCTCAGGGGGGCCTGTGCCTGTAGCCCTTATCCATGCACTTTGGGAAGCATTTTCCATGACAGACCCATTACTGACCTGAAAAATGAAAGAGAACATTTCTAGTTCCCTTTCTAATCCTAAGAAATAAAGCTCAGGGGAGCTGTCTCTTTAGAATATGGAGAAAAGAAGCAATGGTCATTAGGTGACAAGTCATAAGTTGTATGTAAAAGACTTTAACTTAATAGAGTTTCTCAGTTCAAACTATTACCTACAAAGACCTCCTTTGGTTTCTTCTAAGGGGCAAGCTGTGTGTGATTGATTGGAAGACATCAGAGAAGCCAAAACCTGCTATCCGAAATACATTTGACAACCCCCTGCAGGTTGTGGCATACATTGGTGCCATGAACCATGATACCAACTATAACTTTCAGGTCAGGACACAGCCTCTACTTAAAGCTTTGCTCCATGCTTGTTGATAGCTCAAGTCCTTACAGTTTTTATTCTGTTTGTATCCCACTGCTTACTGTGTTCCTTGTCCTTCCACCTTCAAAAAGCACTTCCCCCCCGTTGACCTGTGTTTTTTGTTGTTAAGTTCTTTAGTAGTCACAGTCCATTCTTCAGTGTCTTATACTCTCACCTTTGTGTTCTTATATGTCCTGGCACAAGGTTTCATCAGCCCATCCTAGAAACTGAGGGGCTGTTACTGTAGATTGTTTTGTTCTGAGTTTGCCCTGGAGTAAGAAGGAAATGAACCTAAACTGGTCCTATTAAAGAAATATTGGAATCACCCTATGTTTCTTCCTAGGTTCAGAGTGGCTTAATTGTGGTGGCCTACAAAGATGGATCCCCTGCCCACCCACATTTCATGGACACAGAGCTCTGTTCCCAGTACTGGGTTAAGTGGCTTCTTCGACTAGAAGAATATATAAAACAGGAAAAGAGCCAGAATATTCAGAAATCAGATTAGGGAGCAGGACACTGTTTGGGAACATTCAATACTTTCTCACAGTTTGGGAAGATTTATTGCAGTTTGCTGTAGAAATAGAGATGCTACAGAATCTGAGAGCTACATTAACATGAGTGAAAATATTAATTTGTTGGAATTTATTGCAACCAAAAAGCCAGAAAAATTTAAAGAGCTGGATTTATGCATGTAAAAGACTAAGTATGCTCCCTCTGACTGTCACATACTTGAAAAACCAGCAGGCAGGTCAGCACAGTGCAGGTGGCTCTTGGGCTCCCCCGTAGACCTTTCTCTGACCTAGGCAGGATGCCCAGTCTTTGAACTGAGATTGGAAGGCAGTGAGGCTTGGTAAGCCAAGCATTTCCTCTGGGTACACTAGGAGGAGAAGGAGCCACGCATGCCAGGGAGTGTATGGAAGGAGAGTGCACATCACCCAACTACTACTGCCAGTGCAGTTTCCTTACATTCTTTTCTATTTTGAGGTAGTCTGTATATTTTATTCATAAGAGAAAGCTTCCATTTAACATATTTGAAAAATAAATACATGGTTCCTTAGTTTATATAAGCATTGCTGTCTGGAAAGATAGAGTATATTCACCATGTCACTGGCAGTATCCCTTGGCATGCCACTTAACTGCCAAAAGTAGCCAGAATCCCAGTCTGTAGTCGTAATTACAGGGATTCTAGTAGTTATATTCTGGTTTGAATCAGTGGGTCATGTACATAGAGAAAATGTCATTTATGGGATCTTTCAGCTGTGAAGAAGAATAGTAAAATCTGAATTTTCTGTGTTTGGTAAGTAATAAAATTTATTAGTTGTCACTGGGTTCAGGAGCCCTAAGTGCCCGAGACAGCCCTAGAAAAAGGTTCCCTGTTTTATGGATTGGGTTAGCATTTAAGTTTCAGTTGCTGTCTTCAAATAGTAGAGCACTACAGTCACTTTTTATCTTTTATTAGCCATTAATTATAAGAAATACAAGGTGTGAGTAAAATAATGAGGCTTGTGGTTTTATTTAAATGTGTGTGTGTGTATATTGAATACTTTCATAGACCTGGAAATTGTTTAGATTTTGTTTTAGAAATTCAGAATTTTAGCACTGGACTAGTAACTTTGGTATGTGTTCTATGTCAATGCATATGAGAAGGAGGTGTTCTCAACCATTGTCACCCAGCATGCAAAATGAGATTCCAATAGAGGAGGAATTGACTCAATACACTTCTGCATTTTTTTCAAGTAGCATATATTCCTTTAGCCTATAATTTTCAAAATCAAAAATCAAGTGAGATAATTAAAAGTTGTATCAGCAGATTTTGTCACACTGCTCTAAAACGACTCATCCTAGATTTAAGAGACTAGACCTAGCAAGACCTCATTAGTAGAGTTCTCTTGGGTTAATATCAATGCACCTTGGACCCGTCACTTTGTGCCGAGTCTCAAGCTAACAGGAGTTACAGAAAAGACCCTCAGAGTCTGACCAGAAAGACATGGTTGGTATGAAAACAGTGTAGGCAAATCCCTGAGCAGGCATCCCTGAACTACACGAGAGCACACCCATTTCTCACTACAATCCTGATATCTTTCAGATCTCATTAACTAAAGGCTTTTCAATCCTCTGAGAGGGATGTCAGTGGAAAAAGTTATTTTCTTGATACTAAGGCATAAGAGGAGAAAGCCAAATCTGAGTTTCTAAATGAGTCATAACTTTTCAAGAATTACCATGTTTGTTCTAATTTTTGGATACCACCTGTCCCACTAAATGATATGGCATATTAAATTCCAGCAAAATGAGACAGGATTTGCCACAGGGAGAGATTTTCTAATTGAAGATGATGGAAATATTGTTAAAAGGTATAAATTGCCTTGCTGAAAAGGCTTCTTGAGCTTTGAGACAATCATTAGATTCAAGACAATCCACATTTTTCCTTGCAGTTCTACACACTCATTAATTCACTTAGCAGCTGAAAAAAGCTCCTAAGCTGGCACTAAAAACCAATTTTCAAGTTTTTCCAAAAACATTGCACTTTTTTCCCCCTCAGACTTGGCCTCTTGCTCTGAGAAAATTAACCTATAAACCTAACAGTTCTAGGAAAACTTGTCAACACATGACCTAGGGTTTCTTATATTGCCCTGCTAAATACAGAAAGAGGGTTAGTCATAAATAGTGTTTCTAGGTAACTAATTTGCCTACTGGTTTTAAATGAAGTTGGAGAGGAGTAATTTGTTTTATTATTGAGTCTTCCCACCTAAGCAATTAAACATTTAGTTATAACCTACCTTACCTGCTCTCCCTGCCCTTTCCCGCCAAAAACAAAACAAAAACTGAAGCAAGGAATAGTAAAAACTTTACTTTTAAAGACCTCAGTGTTTGGAGCTAGTGCTCTAAAAAGCATGTAAACCAATCACTAAGGCAGAACTGGCTTCCTACCGCCTTCCTCCCCTTTCCCTCCCCTTTCCAGCCTCAGCAGCTTAGAGTTAAGCAAAGCAATGGTGAGGTGCTTCTGCTGAAAGTCTAACCAATGAGCCTCCTAAGTTACTGATACCATAGAAGAGAGCTAGAGAAAATCTCTTGGGTAGTTACCCTGATGGAACAAAAGGTTTGTATGTTGCCTTGACAACAATTGTCAGGTTCGAGTGATGCATTTGTCAAGATCCAATGATAAAATGATGTCTGGGTTAGAATAGGGTTTGAGTGTTTTCCTTTTTGCTCAAGAGAGCAGCAGTAGGTAGACAAAATAATACTGATAAATGTAAAAGCCCTTGTCTTCAATTCCCTGATTCCATTTATGTCTCTCCCAAGACAAGCACTGTCTTAAGTTTGGTGTGTATCTTTCCAGCATGTCCTTTTATAGTTTTACCACCTGTGGTCTCCATGAATTATATGTGGTTTTGCTTTCTGTATTTTTTATTTTTGCTTTCTTTGTTTCAACGTTAGTTTTGGCGCTCTATCCATTCCTAGATCTAGTGCATAGCTTTTAACTGCTCTGCAGCTTTACTGTCTCACTAATGGGCTGTTAGGCTAACTGATGTTTCGCAACTACAAAGAAAGCTGCAGGGAAAAGACAGCATCATGTGTGCATGTGTGTGTGTGTGTGTTTCCAGTATACACGAAACACATGCAAGTAGTGGAAACAGGGTAATAGTGCTCTGACCTTGAGCAGGTTACCTGACCTTTATGTGCCTGAATTCCTCATTGGTAAATTGGGGGAAATAACAGTGCCTACTTGTTAGAGGTGTGAGAGTTAGTTAGCACTTAGGACAGCACTTGGCACCTCATGGGAACAAAATAGACGTTAGCCATCAAACCTATACACATCCCACGATCAAACCTGTACACATCTTTGCTGGGTCACAGCATGAACATTACTGACAAATTCCTCTCTGAAATAGCAATACCAACTCTCTCTACACCCGTAGTTTCTGAAATTTCCTACTTTTCCACATATTCACTAAGAGACGAGTTTCAAGACTTTTTTTTTTTTTTTACCATCACGATGGGGTGAAAACAGTTTGTTTTCACTTGTTATTTTGAACAGTATTATTCCTAGAATAAAGTCTGCTCTCAAACGGTATTGCCATCTAGTGGTAGGAAAAGTAGGCTGCATTTACCGGGCAGAAGCCAAGTGCCGGTGCACCTAATCATTTGCATGTCTAGGGGTAATTTGGGCATTTTAGTCGCTACCACAGGTCTGGTTTGATGTAAAGCCACTGCGTGAGGGTTCTGTTATCTTCCCACCTCTGTTAGGCAGTTTATGCTAGTCTGCCCTTTTCCCGTATGGCACAGAGACCCGCCTGCACAGCCCCACGCGACCCCATATCTGAATGCATCGAGGTCACTGGCTCCGTAAAGAGAAGTGAGATAAATTAGAACGAGGCTATTTACAAACTGGCAGAAGCCTGCGGCTCCAAGCAGGGCGGGCTTTCCTTGAGTGATCCTAACTCCCCTGGCCAAGTTCACGCATCAGTGCCCTTCTCTCAAACCACCACAAAGGGCTGAGCTGACAGTCTCAGTTGTTTTTCCAAACAGGGGCTTGTACTGTCTGCTATGAAGACTTCTAAAATCACAGCCTAAAAAGATTTAAGAGTGCATGAAAATGTTAAATATTAATCATCAAAGAAATAGGTACATTTTAAAAGATCTGTATAAGAATGTTCCATGAAAAATAAGGGTGCAAATAAAGTGATATTGTCAAAATGCTATATAACATGTCTTTAAATAAGTACCATCACTAAATTAACGGGCTATTAAGGGCCTAAACAACAAGCAAAAGTCAGCCGTAATAAGAAACATCTCTTCAGGTTGATCCAGACTATGTCCCACAGCACCAGGCTCATGACTATTTCAAATCTATCATTAGTGCTGATGACTTTGCCTAAAATAGCTTCCCTTCCTTCCCTTGTTCAGCCAAATCTTTTTTCTAAGTGCTTGGGCCTGAACCCCAAATCTACCTAATGTCAGTCTTACCAACAATGCCAGAAAAGAGATGGTGTAGTGCAGAGAGTAGGAGTCTCAGAAGCAGGCAGACCTGGGTTCAAGTCCTAATCTTGCAATGTTAGGTGAGTCATTTCACTTCCCTCTGCCTGTTTTTCATCAGTAATTTGAGGATATCACTGACCCCAGTGTTGTCTGAACAATTAACATGGGGAAATGTGTGGACAAGGGTGGAAGGGGAGTGGGCACTGGGCAAATCTTAGTTCCCTCTACCTTGGAACTGACTTCAGCTGGACAGATAAGCAACTTTGTACTGCTTACTTAATGAACTGTCCTACATGTGGATGCTTCCTTTTTCCATTACCATAGTCAGCACTTAAACTTAAGGTGGAGGTGTGTTTAAGAATCAAAGACAGGCAGTTACCACGGAACATGATAAAGAAGACAGGTGGTCACAAGCTGAGAGACCTGGGTATGTCTTAATTCAAAATCAAGAAAGTAAAAGAAATAGACCAAAGCCCCACAGAACAGTTTTAAAAGAGGTAAGTGGAGGGACAAACAACAAAGGGAGACTGCCCTTCCCCAAAACAGCAGAAAAAGAGGTGGGGATCAGAATGGCCCACCAACAACATTATTATGATTAGTTCTGGCTAGCCCTTTGCTAATAGTCTGTGGGTTCACCTGTGAGCTCCACAAACTGAAAGGTATATGTAGAACTAGAGGAGAGCCAGATAGTGAGTCAAGACATAAAATGGGACTCATGAGGCAGGCCAGAGGACAGGATAGTACAAAAAGCACAAGGCTGTGTGTTAGAAGCTAATCCATCCATTCAGCCAACACTTAATAATGAGTGTCTGTTTTGTGCCAGCTTATGCAAGACACTGATACAAGACAGAGATGGAGTTTACAGCCTAAGGAGGGACAAACAATAAGTAAAAACAAGAAGTAAAAAAATTACAGATTGAGAAGTACCATGAAGGAACAGAGTCACTGAGTCAGCAAGGGGAATTGAAATTTTGGATCAGGTGGTCAGAGAGGGCTCCTCTGAGGGGTGACATGCAAGGTGAAGCCTGAAAGATGAAAGGTGTAAAGCTAGCAGTGGAAAGAGCTCCAGCAAGAGTATCCTCAGGCTTAAAGGCAGGAAAGAGAGCTCACAGTCCAGAGGAGGTGCAGACTTTCAGACTGGCCAGAAAGCAGTGGGAAAGGGAAGGTAGCCAGCTCATGCCAGACTCAGGGAACCATGAAGGAGCCATAAGTTTGGATTTTATTCTAAGTGCGATGAAAAGGCAGGATCAGCAGGGAAATCAAGTCATTTCATTCCCTTTCCAGAAGATTGGTCTTGTCTGGAGGGCAGAAAGAGTTGAAGCAGAGTGCAGCTAGACAGCTATTAGGCTAGTCTAGGACAGGGGTCAACTGTGGCGAGTGGGCCATATCTGGCCTGCTCCTTGTTTTTGCATAGTTTGTGAGCTAAGAATTGTTCTCACATTTTGAAACGGCTAAAAGAAATCAAATGAATTTTCAGTGACATGAAAATTATAAAAATTCTAATTCCAGTATCTATAAAT